AGCTTATTTATTAGAAGTAGATGGTCAACGCGGTCAAAGGCTTTGGATATGTCGAAGTAGATGACTAGTACTAGTTGTTGTTTGTCTCGGCTGCTAGTTATATAGTTAAAGAAGTCAAGGTGACATGTCATGCATGATCTGGATTTTAGGAATCCATGTTGGTTTGGACTTAGAATATTGCAGCTGAGCATATGTTTGAGGATATCATCTTTAACTATTCGTTCAATGATTCTAGATACTATGGGTGTAATATTGATTGGCCTATGGTTGTTGACTTCAGTTTTTGATCCGGATTTGTGTTTAGGTACTATAAATGTCGTTTTCCATTTATCTGGATAGGTTTGGCTTTCAAGGGACATTGTAAAAATCTTAAGTAATAAAACAGAAATGTCAGAACCACCGTGTTTATAAAGATACGATGGTATACCGTCAAAACCGGCACTACTAGAGCTTTTAAGAGTATTAACGGCTTGGTTAATATTAGAGTAAGTGAAATGAACTGTAGTGATTTGTTTCAGCGTTGAAGATGAAGGGAGTTCTATTTTAGATTGTAAACCGAGAAGTGGACTTGTAGGCTTAAGGTAGTTAGCTGCAAACGTCTCATTAAACAATTCACACATGTCTGCATGTTTGCTGTATAGTTTGCCCTTGTTTATAAGGAGAGAAATTTTATGGCTTTGGCGATTCATTCGTTTCTTTAGGATTTCTGTGAGAGCACCTACTCTGGTGGTGCTGGCTAGTGCCGTGCATTCTTCATTTCTCATACGCAAGTTATGAGCTTGCGAGATGGAGCTAAGAGTACTAAGTATTAACCCTAGTGTACTAAAGTCGTGTCGCCTGAAGTAACTTGTTGACAGTCTTTTCAGTTTCCTACGATCCTTTGGCTTTATGAATGTCTTTCTATGTGGGGAAAACTTTAGTGTTTGAAATGGGATGACAGCATCTAAGCATGTGTTGGAGTTATAGTAAAAGATGTCTAGAGCTTTCGAGAGGCTATCAGTATAGAAGTACTCACTCCATTCTGAGGATCTTAGCATTGATTTTACTAGAGTCCAGTCTGCCTTACTGTAGTTCCTGTAAGTTATTTGTTGTGAAGTAGGGGTATGTGTTGCATTGCTACTTGACGGAAGTGGCAGTGCACACAGCACTGTTTTGTGGTCACTCCCTGAAAACTCAGAACCTACTAGGGTAGAAAGGGGACTTATATTGTGGCAGAAGATTAAGTCTAGTACGTTATTACCTCTTGGGGTTGTGACAGTCTGCTTCCAGCCAAGTATATCCAGTGTGCCTAAGAACTTATCAAGTTTAGTTGGACCTGTGAGTGTTTCCCAGTTGATTTCTGGCAAGTTAAAGTCTCCACATAGGATTTTATGATCGTAGTGGAGGGTGGATAATTGTTCTAGAGTATTAATAAGTTGGGTCACGTAATTACTAAAGGTGCCAGGTGCTCTGTAGGTGCATCCAATTAATACTATTGCGTTATTTAAGTGTAAGTTAACCCATAAAGTCTCAGGCATGTTAAGTGCACTACTTTCTAGCTGTGATACAGTAAGTGCATTCAGAAAGTACATAAGACAACCCCCTCCCTTACCACCTTCCCTGTCACACCGAAAGTGTGTATAGTTATCTAAGCTTATCTCTTCATCCAGTATGTTCGAGTTACACCAGGATTCAGTGATGACAATTATAGGGGGTTTGTATATGGTCCTAGTCAGGCGAGATAGGAATCTGAAAGAAGGAGGTGGAGTCGCCATATACGTCGACAAACAGCTCAGATGTGTCCATGCAATGGACCCTCCCCTCATTGAGCTTCCTGACTCCATATGGTGCCATTTCACCGTTGAGTACTGTAAGTATCTAGTGGGCAGCATTTACAGATCACCTTCATGTGGAGCAGACCACAACCAGGTACTGCTGAATGCAATTTCAGCGACACATCACATGGGTCATGATCAAATTGTCATAACTGGCGACTTCAGTGCCCCATCTCTTAACTTGATGACGGGATATGCCCAGGACAGATTTGATCGAAATCTGCTGCATACCATCTGGGAGGCCGGATTCACTGAAAATGTCAAAATGGATACTAGATGGGGCCCAGATGGGAAGTCTTCTAGACTGGATTATGTGCTCACTAGCGACCAGCTACTAGTGGAAAACGTTCAGATCGCGACTCCAATAGGTAGTAGTGACCACGCGGTCATAACATTCGATATAGTCCTCCGCGAGCGTTTACATTGGGACAATACACAGCCCTATCTGTGTTATAACAAAGCCGATTACACTAAAATGCGAAGACTTTTGTCTGAAGTAAATTCGCCAAAATATTGGACACAGCTTACAGTAGAAGAACACTAGGAGTGGTAAAGGAGATCATTCACCAGGCGGTCTCAGACACTGTTCCTTTAGTCACACCAAAAGCTAGAAAGCAACGTTCATGGCTAAAAAGGGGGACACAACGCCTTCTACAGGCGAAGCGAAAAGCCTGGTTTGCGTGGCGAGTATCGAAGAGTCAACCCGAACATGAAGTGTACCTCGAACTCAAGAATCGATGTAACATACGAGTCCGGAGTGATAGGAGGACATTTCAGAGAAACCTCACCAATAAGCTTCTCGTGAACCCCAAAAGCCTATACAGGTTTATAACTGAAAGAAAACCGACCAACCGGGGAGCTTGCAATCTAGTGTGTTCTGATGGGAAATCTCTTACTAGTCTTGAAATGGCACAGACATTCAGTCTAGCCTTTCACAGGCAACTGAACAGTAATGAGGATTTTACCCCCACAAAACATCAAGATTACAATGCAAGACCAACGTGCGAAAACCTGCGGGGTACATTTTAAATTACCCCGGCTATGGTACTCGTAAAATTGGGAAAGTTGGCTTCGGGAAAGTCTGCAGGTTGCGATGACATAAGACCATCCGTCCTGAAGCAGTATTCAGAAAGTCCCTGCCAACCCCTAAGTGATCTGTTTCAACACTCTTTTGATGTAGGGAAACTTCCATGTGAATGGAAACGAGCCATCCTATCCCCTATCTTCAGGGGTGGTGACCGGCAGAATGCGACCAGTTACAGACCAGTTGTGCTACTCCCAGTGATATCGAAGATATTGGAAAGTCTCATTGACGACCACATGAGAAAATACTTCGACGGGACTAACCTACTCCATGAAGCACAGCACGGTTTCAGGAGGGGAAGATCCTGTGTGACGAATCTTCTACTAGCTTGGAACGATTGGACACTATCCTGGGACGTAGTGGTACCAGTCCATGTGATCTTTCGAAAGCATTCGACACAGTTCACCATGGTCTGCTCCTTCACAAAATAAGCAAGGCGGGTGTTTCTGGAGCACTTCTCGCATGGCTGAAAGATTACTAAGGCTAGAGAGAATTCTGCACCAAAGTCAACCGCATCCGATCATCCTGGCACACCTCGGCATCAGGGGTTCCTCAGGGTTCTATCTTAGAGCCATTGATGTTTTTAGTTTTTATCAACGACCTGCCCTGTCAACTGAACTGCTCTGCGCTTCTTTACGCTGACGACGTAAAGATTTGGAGAGCAATAAACTCATCGGAAGACTCAGAGAGATTGCAGGCTGACCTGAAAACTCTGGGAGACTGGGCTCTGGCTAACGGAATGCCTTTCAACCTAAAGTAGTGCAACTTCATTCCGGCAGGTCACAGAGTGTAAATTACACCCTTGGTGGCCAGAACTTGAGTTGTGTGCCATCAGAACGCGACCTGGGTCTTATTTTAACAGAAAAGCTAGACACCAGTGTAAATTACACGAGGGACGTCGCCAAAGCTTACGCTACTTTACACTTTATGCACAGGCAGCTGGGAGATCTTACTCCTGAACTATCCTTAAGGTTGTATACCACATACGTGAGGCCACTCCTTGAGGTGCATAATATCATTGCTCCTCCGCTACTCAAAAGGGATGCTAACATTCTAGAAAGTGTCCAGAGACGAGCGACAAAATGGGTGATCGGCCTCCGCAACAAATCATATGAGGAAAGACTGAGGAAATTAAGTCTTTTCACACTTAGTTACCGTAGTCACAGGGGAGACCTCATCACCGTCTATAAGACCTTAAATGACCGGGCCCATCCTAATAAAAGCATCCTGCCATTAAGTGATTAAAGGCTTCCACGAGGTAACCCACTAAGGATAGCACACCAGAGACCAAAGACTCGAGTGCGTTCACATTTCTTCTCGCTTCGAGTTTGCCGTCTCTGGAACGCTTTACCGGCGGCCGTAACTACAGCTCCATGTGTGGAGACTTTTAAGCGGAAGCTGGACAACCATGCAAAAATGCATGGTTTGTGTCACAATGGCTTATCCTCTTAAAATTTGAAACCACATTGTCAATGGATAAGCATACAAGCTAAATCCCCACGACCCGTCCTGTCTTCTCTCACTGTACCGACTACTCTATCTTTTCTTTGGTCACATTCATTATTTCACCTTTATTATTTCATTTATCTCAACCTATGTTATCTACACTACAACCTATTATTACTATTATTATTATTATTCTACTTTTATGACTACACCGAATGACCAACGGGTGTTAGGTCAAACTCCATTCACGGCAGCAGCTGAGTCCTAACATACTGCACACTGCAAACCACAATCTTGACCAATCCTCGCACCACTCCTCTTGGAGTCTACCAGAGCTTAAGCAGTCGAGTGGCGGGATTTACTACGCATAAGTTCACCGAAGATCTGGAACCTCTACCTTACAATCAAGAAGTGAGCTCAAAGAAATCACTGGTTTATACTAGCTCATAATCAGGATATTGGCTTTTGCGAACCTTCGAAACACACTGCCATACCTACTCTTATTTCGTAAATCAGAGCTGCAGTGGTCGAATCGGTTGATTTCATGTACTACAATCAGCCAAAGCTCTGGGACAGTTCGGAAACCACAAGAAGTGAGAGCCAATAGACGAAGAGTTTTATAGAGGCTTGTCAAGGATAATAGATACTGGAATGTCCTTGAACACTTTTAAATGCAACGGTACTTGGACTTCGACGTAACACCTTTTCTTGATTCCCTGCAAAAGGCTGTCGATATATGGTTAGCTCTGTAGTTTATCGATTAATTCAATGACAGTACAGAATATGATGTTATACCACATGTAGCTGATGAACATCATCAGTACCTTGTAATCTGCGACAGTGCCTTTGGTATATGCGATTGTACCATAAAGTTGGTGTTCTGTAGATATACGAGTTTTTCGGAGTTTATACCCCATAGTACGTGGTGTTTCAGTATATATTTCAACTTATTAAACGTCATTTAAATGAAGGTTTTAAATTCACATCTATAGATGTATATTCAGGTCTGTATATAGACCTCAATATATATATATATATATATATATATATGAGCATTAGCCGAAATGGTCGTAAAGTCAATCAGGAGTATCATATTGGCACACCTTTTGAATAGGGAGCACGAAACTGATAAAAATTGAGCTTTTACAATTCTGTATAAGGTGCCACCTCAATCGCCTTCAATTGCTAAGCATAGGTGAGGCAATCAACATAAAAACAATTGTTTCAACCCAACCCCTGTGTTTAGAAATTGTTCAATCTCTCTCCCGACCAATTTAGAATAGTTATCTTTCCTGGTGACACTGGATAACTGTAAATGATTATTATTGTAATATTATTGTTTCCTTTAATTCCTAGAGGAACATAGGGCTTCAACCGTGCGTCTCCATTGCGTTCGGTTCTCTGCTAGAGTCTTCACTTGGCTCCATGTCTGCCCACACGCTTTCATCTCCTTCAGATGACCTCCTCCAAGTCACACTTGCACTGACGACCAACTCGCCGCTTCCCGTTCGGGTTCCACTCGAGCAATGGCTTGTCTAGTGATGTCACTTGATGGTTTCCTCAGAGTATGGCCAGCCAATCCATCTCCATTTCTTCCTACCTATTTGTTTGACAATCGGTTCCTGCTGGGTTGGTTTGCTCCCAGAGATCTCTGTTGCTGATCTTTTCTGGTTGGCCATCTGATCTTGAGTATTGAGCGAAGACAACTGTTGATGAAGGTCTGTAGTTTGTTTGAGATGCTCTTTATGACGCGCAGTGCAAGTCTCTGATCCGTATAGTAGCACTGACTGACTTCACATTGGGGTTGAAAATCCGGATCTTATTTTTGATGCTGAGTGCACTCTAAATGATATTTTTGCTTTTGTTTGTATTGCTAACTTCATTATCAAATTCATATTGTGCAACTGCACTTGCATATTGTAATCTTAGTTTCACAATTAATTATTATTCTACTTCACTATGTTTGGTTTTATTGATTAATCCACATTGTTTTTCAAATGTTTGTGACTCATATTTCATAATTATATAATTGTGTTAAGCCTGATGATGAGGATTTTGCCGAAAATACGTATTTTCTTGTTTAAATCGTGTTTTAAAGTTATCTTAATCAGAATATTTAAATTTTCACTATCACATTTACAATAATCTAGGATTTTTTAAAATTCATAATGTACACTGTAATAATATTCAGGTAGAAGTTTAGAAACTAAATAAGTATTTAGAAAGTTCCCATAGTTTTTTTCATAATCATGAGCTGGCTGGTTGATTTAATTGCCAAGCTTTCATCTTCCTTCTATATAACATCTTCAGCGCTGTTTGTAGTACAAGATGGACTTATTTAAATTCTCCATGAATGACGTAATTGTATCTCCTAGCAATCTTTGTTGTCTTGACTGGTTGTTAATTTACGTCTCTATTGGTCATATTTTTATTGACTTGGATTTTGGACTTTCGTTATGTGATTTACTTTTTATTAATTGATGAATTTGGTCTTAAATAATGTGTTTGTTGATTGCTAATTCACTTGAGTACTAGAAATTCCCTGGCATTTTCCGCGTTTCCTCTATTTAAATTTTCCACATTCTCCCAATCACCTAATTGGTGTCCATAATTATCTACATGCATTGATACGAAAGAATATTTATGATGTCTTTTTACAGCCGATTTGTGTTCTTGGATTCTGATTCAAAGGGGACTCCCACTTTGACCGATGTAATGTTTATCACGCAGTTCATGCAATTTATTTTGCAAATGGTTTCAATTTTATCTTCTTTTTCTGTTGGTCGGATCTTTTGGTTTACACAATATCGATTGAAGTGATTGTGCTGGCTGGCTGGCTAGCTTGTGTGGTATAGCTATTGCAAACTGTCTTAATATTCCAACTGTTATTTCAGAGATAATTTTCATATATATGATAGGATGAATTTTCCCGTAACCTTTGATGATTTTCATAATGTTGTCAGTAGAAATCAAGTGTTAATCGGTAACCTTGCATATGTTCATTTTCTTAGTAATGTGCCACATCAATAGTATTGACCTAAGAGATTGAGGTTGCTGTAGGCAGTTTGTTGCCCCCCCCCCCTGTGACATCATAATTCATACACAAATGAAAGTCGGCGACTTCGATAATTTTCACTATACATATATATACCTGCATTCCGCAGTGAGTGATGATGTTCTTCTGTCCAATCAATTGACGGGAAAATCTAAAATTCAATAAAATAATTCATATTACCCATTGCACAAGAAATGGCTCCCATGGCCCAAGTGGTCTAGTGGATAACGCTTTGGCGTTTGAAACTATGGGCACTGGGTTCGAGTCTCGGTGGGAACATCACTGACTCACTGGGGAATGCAGGTACGTCCGGATGACGAGTCCCAAACAGGACGAAATGTGCGTTGTCCTGGATTCCATCCACCAATCAACTTCTAATTACATGCCCAGACATCATCGAAGCATCTGCACAAGAAGCCGACGTGTCAACCTGAGACCGAGTACTACTTCGATCCAATCAATCGACGGGAAAATCTAAAATTCAATTAAATATATATATATATGTTTATAGATTTATTAAACAAAATCATTTGCAAGTTAATGGCTTCGTTCAATAGTGTTTTTGAACATTTTTAAATGGGATGTAAATGAGAGGTAAAGCCTTTGGTGAAATACATTGGACAACATATTTCAGAATTTGTTCCTAGTTTAACCATGGATTGATATCGGTTAGAGGTCCATTGAAATATAACAGGGAGTACAGGATAGTTGCTTTGCCTTAGTTTGCGACTCATCGCCAGTACACACCCATCGGGGTTCGAAGCCAATTAATCTGATGCTCGCTAGTGATTGGCTGCTGAACGGAGTTAGTTGCCTGGAGTTCTAGTGAGAAGTCCGTGACCAGTAGGGTCCAGCTGATCGGGAATGAGGGTGAGTACTCGCCACGGATGACACTGGCTGGTGCAAGTCGGCCTAAAATCATGAATTGATAGGAGTTGGAATTCATAGATCGGCCACTGTGTCGGGTCCCTTGCCTTGTAATCAGAAGGTCGTAGATTCAAGTCCCACTGAGTCTAAAACAAGCAATAAAGGTTAATAAAGCAGGATTTAATGAATTCATCAAATTTCGGTAGAACTCGTCAGCTGAATACTACTCTACATACACGGATATATATACTTTTGAGATTACATTGGGAGATGTAAGACTGATAAGTAAACAAACTACATTGAATTAGTCATGCAGAAAGACAGGTGCGAATGTTTTTCCAGGTCATGTTCAAATAGATAAGTGGGGGAGAGAGAATATGAGAAGTCAAAATTACGATAAATTCCATTACGCTTCAATTACACCGCTTAGATAAATGGTTGAAAACAGCTGAGTGCAAAGTGCCAAAATCCTCAATAACAAAGCATCTTGTGGATTACGGACATGATATCGACGCGGTCAAGTCGTTCACTATTGTCAGCAGACAAAGAAACAAGAAGATGCTTGCAATTGCAATTCGAGTTTATTAACCAGGTCTCTGTGTACAAAAGGAGATGGTTGTGACTCTGAATCCACCATGGTAATACGTTTTACTTATAATTCTACCTCTTATTATTATTATTCTTGATTCATTTAAACCTATCCTTTATCAGTAGGATTATCTTAACTCACTTCAACATTATTATTGTTGTTATTATAACTATTACTATTGATATTACTCCCTTTGGTAATTCTCGTTATATTCTCCAATGTCTAATTGTTTATCTTAGTGATGTAATTGAAGCGTAATGCAATTTATCGTAATTTTGATTTCTCATATTCTCTCTCCCCACTTATCTATTTGAACATGACCTGGAAAAACATTCGCACCTGTCTTTCTGCATGACTAATTCAATGCACTTTATTTGCTTATCAGTCCTATATCTCCCAATGTAATTTCAAAAGTAGATATATATATTTCCGTGTATGTAGAGTACTCAGCTGACGAGTTCTACCGAAATTTGATGAATTGATTAATTTCTACTTTATTAACCTTTATTGCTTGTTTTAAATTCGTATCGGGAAATAAATGTTTCCAATTCCCACTGAGTCCCAAACTAGGACAGAACAACCGTGTACAGTACTCCCTGGCAGGTTTTCAATAGCTCTCTAACTGATATCAATCAATCCGTGGTCAAACTTGCAATTTTACATGCATCTTTTTGATGTTTCACTTTCCTATTAATTATTTCTCTTTAGATTTATTGAACTATCTACTGTTAATAGCACCTAATACAACAACATTTTGGAATTACAGACGTCAATCTCTGCTGACGAGCAATAATGCTAAAGAGTTAGCCAATGCAGAAATCAAATTTACTCAGCTGATTCTAAGCAAATATCCGCGTTCAAATGAAACCATCCTTTATCGGTAATTCTGTCTTGGTCACATATATTATATGTGTGTACCTTTTGAATAATTAATATTTACATTGAATCAATAGGCAATGGATTGTTGAAAAGTGTAATTATCTACAAGATGACGAATTTTTATTAAATGAATTCAAGTTATGCAATCGAATTGCTGATAAATATCGGTGTAATTATGGTTTATGGCAGTATCGTCGGTTTTTATTGCGGCATTCAATGCCAAAGGTGAGTTGTGTTGTTTTGATTGGATACTAAATTAACTGGTGTCATATGTGTCATTTGACTATCGACAAGTTTATTGGCCTTCCATTACGGTGCGTCTTCCATGTGTGTGTATCTACCAATTTAACTGTTCCTGTGGAGTGAACCAGTTAGTTACATAGGCCGTACAATTAGGCGTGTTTCTCGTCCGATTTCCGAACATCATCCTGGTTGGTTAAGTAAAGGAGAAACAAAATCTATTCATATAGCGCTATTCTATCTCATCTTGTGGATACAGAACACAAGATTGATGTTAACCAGGTGGCTTTCAGAGTCATTTACCGCATACTAACTTATTTTAATTTCGCCTTAAGAGTTCGACTGCTAAATATTGCTGAGGCTGCCTGTTGGGATCCATATTAAAAAGCCTAATTTGTGCGTCCAAAAGAAGTTAGTTCAGACATTGTCCTTACCCACTTGGCCATCTAGGTTTAAATGATCCTGAATTTTGTGGAGTTTTCCTAATTTTATTTGATATTCTATTTGCTATAATATCTTTATTATTCTTATAATCTAAGCATTTTCAATGAACTGTGGTAATTCCATTGTGATCTTACTTTACAAATCGATATTATTTAAAAAACACTAATATTGTTATTCACTACTATTCTAGAATATTCTATGTATATAAACATGCACATATAATTGTAGAGCGAGAAGAGGAATTTGCCGAAAAGGATATTCTTTGCTCAATTATTTTGTGTTTTATAGATGTCTGAATGAATATTTTCGTTATAATGAGTTGAATTGTTGGTATTAGATAGTTGGCGGTAATCGACAAAAGGAAGCCTTGACTACACCTAGGTTCCGTGCTAGTTGGCACTCAGCAGTTAGCAAGGCGCGTGTATCTGCAACCTTGAAGAAATTCATTTCCCCCATCTGAGATTCAAACCTGTGTCACCCAATTTTGCCTGCAGCTAGGACGGGCGATTGACCTCTTGTAGGATTCTATTGGATACTTTGACTGGATACTAGATAGTAACTGCTGACATGGATTCGCAGCAATAAGAAACTCTGAGAAGGAACTAATCAAGAACCTCTCGCTTAACAAATGTCCTGAGGAAAGTAGAGGTGGTTCGGGCACACGTTGAGGAGACTATCAAACGACATCTTGCTCCAGATCCTCGAGTGGAATCCGAGGGTAATATGGAAGAAATCGTGTGGCGAGGAAGAAATGACAGCTTATGGGAAATTGTCGAGCTTGGAATGCAGAGAACCTAGTGAAATGAAGATGTGTGGTGCTGTTGAAGCCCTAAGTTGTTCCATTCAGAATCGAAGGGAATAATAATAGTAATGATATGATATAAGTACAAAACTTGGGCACTGTGGTAAAGTATATCTCCATTATGGATAAGATTTTATTTTGATAAATCACACAGTGCTGTACAGTAATATTAACTGATGACCACATTTCGAGCACAAACTATTGCCACACATAGTCATATCAAGTCACTCACACAACTTTCTTGCCTCATTTATATACATGAGTGGAATTGATGATTAGACATTTGAATGAAAATCAATATAGGACGATGTACATCCGATGGCTATAAAGGCTGGCTTGGTTAAGTGGCTAACAAACCGAGCAGTGGCACTAAGTAGCACAAAAAAGACCTAAAAGATGAAATAAAACAGATAGAAGAAGAAGCGTTGCTGCCAAATAACTATCCTATAAAATTCATTAGGAATATCAAAAAAAGGTCAAAAGCAAAATAAAAATAATGGTGAAACTAATAATGATAACATAAATAAGAGAGAATATATAAGGCATCTACTGTTATACCATATAAGGAGGGAACATCTGAGACCCTACGTAGGATTCTAAATAAAGCAGGAATTAGAGTGGAATTCAAACCTACAAACTCACTCAGATAGGACAAGCTCTGTAGGCTAAAAGACCCGATGGATATGATTAAACAAAATAATATAATTTACAAATTACCTTGCAATGACTGTGAGTGAGGTCAGCTCTACATAGGTCAAACTAATAGATCGGGTGGGAGTAGTCAGATTGTCGGAACATAAGAATTTAGCTAAAGTAGAAAAGTTGACCCCGAGAAGATAAGCAATTTAGAAAAAGCTCAGCAATTGCAATGCATGTATTAACACAAAAGCACACAATAGGGTGGGAGAGGGTTAAGATTCTAATAAGTAATCTATATAGGTGGGGAGAGAGATTGATTACTGAATCCTGTCTGGTTCATTGAGTCTACACACCCAACACATGCAACAGAAATGACTCAATGCAAATACCAGAGATATGGAAGATATTATTACCGCCAGTCAGTCAAATCAGAAGAGGATAATAAATAATCTCAAAATTCTATTTCAATTCACGTACATCACAACATTCTAACAAGTTACTTATTATTTTGACTATAAAACACTCGTCTTATTTCCCATCTGATTGTAACTGATCAATAACACTCGTATTACTATTTCTGAATGTACATTATCTCGTACTGATTTTAATTCAAATATCTAATCATCAATTCCACTCATGTATATAAATAAAGTTAGAAAGTTGTGTGAGTAGTGTCTTGATATGATTATGAGTGGCAATAGTTTGTGCTCAAAACGTATAACACCACTGTGTCATAAGACCTCGAAGGCGTCACCAAGTAAGGGAGACGAATGCCAGGCGTGCAATATCATTGTTTCTAAAGCTGACTCAGCGTTCGAATGCAATTTTTGCAAACGGTGGGTGCACTGCCGTTGCGACAAAGAGATACCGAAATCATACTACGAGTTTATGAGAAATAACCCGTGCCCGTGGTTTTGGTACATCTGTCCACTCTGTCGCCCTGGCATAGTCACACAGAGCGTGTCTGTGGATAGCAGAAACAACACGCCGCCCTTGTGTCCCAACACGGCCTTATGTAGCTCTCCACCTGCTAACATCACATTGCCAAAACTTGGCACAGACAGTAAGAAGGACACTCCAGTCCTACTGACTGAAAATGCCAATTTTCACAAGGTGAAGATTCAGAAGGTTGGACCCAAAACATCAAGGAAAGATAGAATTAGAGAAGCTCCACTTGCATCCACAAGCAAGCTTGGCAACACAATAAAGGCTGGCCAGAACCCGATGAAGCCTAAAGTTGCTGATGCTGCAAAGGAATACGAGAAGCCAAAGGCCAAACCTAAGTCTGAGGTTAATCGGTCTAATTCGCTCATCCTCTTTAACGTACCTGTGAGCAAGGACAGCTTGCTTGAACAGCGGGCCCTGTTTGATCAGGAACTGTGGTCCAACCTGTGCAATAAATTAGGTCTGAACATTAGTTCAGTTAAACTGTGCAGGCTGTACAGGGGTGTCCACTCGCCTCAGGGTAAGCCATCCCCATTAAGGGTTGCACTGGACTCTGCCAAAGAGGCTGAAAAGGTACTATTGATGGCTCAGGTACTAGCCATCGACAGAAGCTCGAACATAAGGGTGAGACAAGACAGACCATGGGCTGTTAGACAAATGGCGAGGGAGTCACCGGAACTTTTGCCTTCTACCTCTATGGTGGTACACGGTGTTCCGGAGCTGGAAACGGGCACTGCCTGTGAAAAACACATGCATGACATACATCAGTGGAGATGGCTGTCGTCTCAGATGGCCCTTGGTGCTTCTGGAACCATCTCCGTTTACCGACTACCTCGCCCCGCTCATTTCACACTGATTAGCTCCCCAAAGCTGCTAAGTGTCACATTCAACTCTCCAGAGCAGTTGGCCGTAGCACTTCAACGGTGGTATGAGATCAAGGGGAAATTGGGAGGACACATCCGATGCTGCGAAAGCAGACCTCGAACCATAAGGAGGCAGCAAACTGAGGCAGCGAAGCAAGGACTTCATCCAAATGGCCTATCCCCTTAAAATCGCATACACCATTCAAAGGTAGACAATTAAACTGGTCGTTTTACTTCTTTACATTCTCTTCAGTCTTACTTTCCTGACAGCTTTAACTACACCTATTATTATTATTATTACTATTATTACTGGTATATATATATATATACCGGTTGACTGACTGTTTTCTTATTCCTTTTCTGTCTGTTAGTCTGAATACCTTCACTAATTATATCTATTATTATTATTATCTCTTTTCTATTGACGACGATACCGAAGGACCAACTGGTGAAAGGATCAACTCCATTCACAGTAGTAACAGTCTTAACACACCTCATACTACAAACCACATATAATTAATCCCTGCACTGCACCTTTTGGAGTCAACCAAAGCTACGACAGTCGAGTGGCGGGACGAGCTACGCAGACGTTTACCGAAGATCAGGAACCTCTACCTCACAATCAAGAGGCGAGCACAAAGAAATCAAATTGGTTTATACTAGCTCGTAAAAACGATATTGGATATTGGAACACCACTGTGTGATTTTATCAAAATAAAATCTTATCCATAGTGGAATAATGACATGGATTTTTCTAAAAAATTATACTCATTTTTATTATTTCGTTTTCTCCTCTTTGTTCTCACACAAACAGATATATGACAATGAGTTGAAGCATATGAATGAATGGTTAGAGAAACATCCAACAGATACAAGCGGTTGGAGTTATTTGTTCACTGTCCTTAACAGTCTACTCAAGCATTCCGTTCTTACCTCCACCTCCACCTCCCCGTCGTCGTCGTTAAATAATCAACTCCAGCTGGAGAGTGTTAAAGACATCCTGAAAAAGTATTTTGAAAAAGTTCACAATATCTTAAAATTATATCCTGAACGAGAATCCGTATGGACATTTAGGTAAATTATTTTTAATAATTATTTGTAATTCTTACTTTTTTCTATGCGGATTATTAATATTCTATTTTATTTTGTGTACAAGATCACCAACTTGGTTTATTATGGGCATTAGGAGATGCTACGCACACACACACACACACACACAACATATTGCAGTTTATCCAAGGACTGAGGTACCTACTCTCCATATCTCCGGTATAGATAGGTGGTGTGTCGTATCCGATTAGGGAACCATTGTAAAACCTGGGAGTACTGGACGGCTGTTTCGTCCTAGTTTGGGACTCTTCATCATTAAACATTCGTCACAGGGGTTCGAACCCAGGGCCTCCTAGGTACAAGGCCAGCTCGTCGACCGCCAAGACACTGGGACCTTATCCAATGGCCAGCTCATGAATTCCAACTTCAACACCAATTCAAGATATGGCGCAACCACTTGGCAATGCCTTCTTCGATCAGTATCTGTCCTCACCTTCAACCTGTTGTACGCTGCTGGTTACGGGTTCCCACTAGAACCCACAGGATTCGAACCCCATTGGGTGCGTAGTGATGAAAAGTTCCAAACCAGGACGAAACAGCTGTCCAGCACTCCCAGGTGGTTTACCAATGGTTCTCTAACCGATGTGTCAGCTCATGATGAAATCCTGTAACCAATCCATCGAATCTTTACAAACCAATACTTGAATATCATTCCGATTACACGTGTGTGGTGTTGAAATGATAAACAAGCATTCAGTGATTAACCTGTCTCTCTGTCTCCACCTAACTATATTTTACTTTTTAATACTCTTACCCACTGTCCCACTCAATCTATTTTGTGATAATTACATGCAAGTGAAAAAAATCCAATGCTTGGGCTCTGTTCTCTAGGTTAGTTAACCTACCAGGGTCAATCATTCTAGGTGTCTGGCTAAATTTTTATGTTCTAGTAATCTAGTTGACCCCGATCTACTAGTAGTTTAACCTGCGTAAGTGACGTCACAGTCGGTATTACATGGTATTTGGTAAATTATATTATTTTACTTAATTGGATCTGTCGAGCGGGTACTTAAGCCAAGGAAGTTTATCTCTGAGTGTGAGGTGGTTGGTTGGTTCAGGTGTCATCCTAACTAATTCCAGCCTCATTGAAAATCCTACGTAAGACCTCTCTGACGTTCCTTCTTTATACGACATTACTAATACAGGGGCTTTGAATTATGTATCTTTTTTTTCGTTATTGCTGTCATTTTCAACTGGGATACCTACTGGCCGAACGCCCAGACGGTTAGGAACTAGTTGTTTTAAGGGGGGCAATAGAGCTGTGTTTTCATGGCTTCCTATGATCAAAATAGATTCATACACCGTTGGATCCCTTGAGATTCTGGAGCCTATTTACACATGCAGGTGTAGAATCAGGGTTTTTCCAGCTCTCCTAGGCGATAGGGTAGACTAGCATATCGACCAGTTCGGTTTTAAGCGGCTTTTCACTTTTTTTGAGGAGCACTGATGTGGTAGGTGAAGGCCAGTGGTGAACAGGACTTATCTGACTGGCAGTGGCTATGAACGCGCGTGACTACATGAGGTCATTTCGGGCATACTTGGTCGTTTATTATTTGAATGGGAACTTGGTACAATATAGGCGCTAAAAGATGCTCCCTGGAAGACTAAAGCGAAGCAAGTGAGTCTTAAGAAACAACTTCTTGAGCCTTTGGCTTAACGTTTTACCCACCAGACAGTGTGGATATCCTTCAGGGGCTGCATCCTCATAGTTGCTGATGACAGAAAAAGTTGTTCATAAGTCATTCGTTCCTATCGGATTCTGGAGGTCATGTGTACGACAGGTTAGGAACTGTAGTTCTCCGACTCCCCACCCCTAAGTAAACTTTCATGTACACCAGTTCGATGATAAGCGGTGAATATTTGAATAGGATGTGCGAGGTAGGGGGTATCAACGCGTAGCCACAAGAGAGTGTTTCAAGGGGAGGACACCGGTCCACCCAACCCTCTGTCTCACTAGATCATTTCAGGGGAGCTATACACCTTCAACCTTCTGCGATACAGTGACGATAAGTGGCTGAAATGACACTTTAATGCTAAATTTGAATTCATTTATATGAAGATAATTCGTCTGTGTGTTGGAATTTACTGTGAGAGATGTGAATTTACATGAAACTTGAATTATTGAATCTCGTTTGCGATTGTGGTGAATTGACAGAGTACTCTTGATGTAACAGACGATATAATTGCAGTGAAATAGGGTGTCCATCTCTTCTAACCTCTATTTCTCAAGACATTCGCTTTGTAATCCAAATACCGTAATTTTCTGTCAATAAGAATGTAAATCCTTCCAGGAATCGTCTCTTTGTAATGTGCATGAGATAGAATTTGTCGAACAACCCTTCCAATATCCACATATGCCAGTTTACGCCGTCTCTGGCGTAGACGTGATATCCGACTATCGACCAAAGGGCGTGTATACTGCTTAGCAGTCCGCTACGTCCTCCTCTATGGCTGTGAGACCTGGCCATTGAGAGCGGAAGACATGAAAAGATTAGCTGTCTTCGATCATAGGTGTCCGCGTTCTATCTCCCGTGTGATATAGTGGTATAATAAGGTGAGCAATATTGAGGTTAGGCGTCGAGTGCTAGGTAAGGCGGGGAAATCAGTCGACGAGACTGCAAAATTACATCGACTGAGATAGTTAGGACATGTGTCACCTATGTCTAGTCATCGCCTTCCTCGACTGACGGCAATGTTAGCTGATATAGGGTCAGGCTGGAAAAGAGCTAGCGGCGGTCAAACGAAATCATGGCACCAGTCAATGAAATCTACAACAGTTAGTTTGAGCCACGTAGGAAGGTGTAGACTTCCTCACTGGTTGGGGTCCTCGGGACGGTAAAAGCCAATGATTGCATACAATTGGTGATATGGCTCAAACTCATCGTTCTCAATGGCTGGCGCAGATGAATCCACTCCTTGTGACTTATGATTTCCAATTAAACTGTTTTTGTTCTTCGATATAACTATACCTTTGTCCCACACCTCTGTTTACTGTCTATATTATGCATTTCTCCTAATTTCTTTTCCTTTGTGTGCTACATGGAGTGTGGCGACTTGAACTGCCGCACATATGTGCAAAGTTCTATGTCGAAAACAGACAGACCGACATGAGATAAATACTATTTGGAAACTACTTCAGCAGTGTGGAGTACAACGCCTCAAATCTTTATTAACCTCATTCAACAGCTATATGACAATGCCATCATGTGTCAGGTGATCTACAACAGAAAACTCAGCGGGGAAGCCTTTGAAGTGAAGACAGGCGTAAGACAAGACTGCCAGCCTACGATCACCGATGAGGATATTCCTAATTGTGGTGGACTTGATTATGCGACACACCGTGTGCGAGGAGTGAGAAGACAGAAATACACGGGACCGATAAGAAGATTCAAGAATATCTGAATTTCGTGCGTGGATGATTTATGTTTGTTGTTGCACAAAGTCGAAGGCTTACTGGTGAAAACCAACAAACTGGCAAAAGAAGCAGCCAACAAAGACTGGGCTCCAGATGAACATAGAGAAGACAGAGGTGATAAAAATAACCAACCATCACCACCACCAACAACAACGGGAGAGATTTGACAGAGGTTAATTCCTTCACTTATCTAGGAGGCATCGTTTCAACTACAGGCAGCCGAAACTAAAGAAGATTTCGAAGCCAGCCAGCCAACTAGAGAGGATCGGAAAGGCAAGATACGCCTTCATCAACCTGAAACCAGTTTGGAAACCTTCTGCACTACGCCTCAGCATAAACAACAAAATTTCGATTTTCAACATCAATGTTGTATCAGTCAGTCAGTCAGTTCTTCTATACAGGTCCGAAACTTGCACTTCATGTCACTGAAAGGATTTCCAACAAGGTATAGACTGTTGTCGACAGCTGACTTCTCTGGCTCCATACTGAAGATCAAATGGCCCGAAAGAATTAACAACAAGAAAATATGGGAACTAACCAACCAAGAAACGATCCTTCAACAAGTATGTAGGAGAAAATTGAGGTGAATTAAGCACACACCAACGAAGACGTCGAACAACTTCTGGCACCAGGTCATCAGTCGAGTAGAACCCGAGTGGGTGGTCTGAAGATGACGTGGAGGAGATGAGAGGTTATGGGCAATCGTGGGGACAGCAGAATAAAGTGGAGATGTGTTGTTGAAGCCCTATTCTGTTCTACTCAGAACCCAAGGGAACAAGAATAATCATAGTGTTTATCTCATATAGATTTTGGAAGGATTGCTTGATAAGCATAATTTCATGCGCATTACACAGAGACGATTCCTGGAAGGATTTAAATTCTTCAAATGAACCGTCGTCAAGATTTGACAGAATAGTTCTAAAATATATGGGTGCCGAGTGAGAAGTAGACATTTGTAAAAAGAAATTATAATTGTAAAATCTCAGCGAGATTGAAATGAGTAATTCCAACGGTTCTTATGTTCGGCAATCTGGTCCGAACTTCTTCAGGGAAATTAATCGAAATTAACATCACAGAGGTTTATATATAAAAAGGAACATCACTTGTTTTTAAAAACTTTGTCCAATCATGAGTCATTCAACAAGTATAATAAACAAAATTTTATGAGCTGTGATCAAAATTTGACCTCGGACTTACAAATATTGGTCTACCTTTGTTAAACACTTTAAACAGAGTGTGTATGTGTATGTGGGTAAACAGTTGTAAAACATTTCTTAACGTCTCCATAGGAAGATATAGACAGTCAGGAATTTGACCAAGTATTATTAATTAGTGATACATATCCATTTTTATTTATTAATCAGGATTTCCTATGCATCAGCTAATATCACGCCGTCATGTCCGTTCAAACTGCTAGTATCTAGAATTTTATGATTAGACGTATTTTCAAAATAATGGTGTTTAGGATTAGAGTTTAGTAGAAGCACCCTGTCGGATTTATTGCTTTGTCTTCTTTCTGAATATTGAGCTGCTTTATTCGACCTACTGGAGTTGTCAGATGACTTGACAGCTATGGATTTAGGAAATGCATTCTGTTGCAGACAACGGAGAGTGAAAACACCAGATTGCCGAATGAAACTTTGGAATTACTCATTTCAATGTTGTTGAGATTTTACAAATATAATTTGTTTTACAGATTTAAATTCTTATTGCCGGAAATTATGGTATTTGGATTACAAAGCGAATGTCTTGAGAAATAGAGGTTAGAAGAGACGGACACCGCTCCCCTAGCCTCACTAGATCACTATTTCACTACATGAAGACCACTCTGTCACTTACCCACTATCACAAACGAGACTCGAAGGTTCAGGTTTAATACAAGTTGACAACTTTCACGGTAACTCCCAGCACGTAGAAGTATTATCTTTAAACAGAAGAACTCAAATTTAGTAATAAATTGTCCATAGCGCCACTTATCGCCATTGTATAATCGAAGGTTGAAGGTGTATAGCTCCCCTGAAATGATCTAGTGAGGCTAGGGGAGGGGTAGACCGGTGTCGTCCCCTTGAAACGCTTACAACTCGGCTAAATGTGGCTTAGAAGTATGCGTCGACCGGAAATCGAGCCCGAATCCGGTGAGGCGCATAGTTGGCAAGCACTACTGTCCAGTTAACTAACCCCCTCACTCACTCACTCACTCACTCACTTTAACTTTATTTGAGCTTCTTTAATAATTATGTGCATAACTTTCCTTTACAGGAGACAATTGATAACTCTATGGCTTCAATTACACCAGAATCACGTGCATGACAATCCTAATATCGAGAATATTGATTCTATACTCAATGAAGTGGAACCATTGTTGCCTGAATCACTCAACATCATTAGTGCATTGAAATTATCCCGTGATAAATTATTCCATGGCTTATCTTTCAATGAATTTTTAACTTGGTCCCATAAAAATAATCTTTGTAAAGAACCTTCATCACTGAAATGGGTTGATCTACTTCTTTTACGATATTTATTTTGGTTATCTGAACGTATTACTGATTCATGCATTATTCAGTAGTATAATATCAAATAAAATTGTTTATGTGTATATACAAAATTCCACTCAATCGCATATGTGATATGATTATCATTATTATTAATTTTGTCTTTTCTACTTATATGTGATAATAAGTAGTATAATATTTTGAGGGAAATTTTGGTGTCAGTTCAACATAGAACTTTTCAGATGGTTTTTTTGTTTTACAACTGACTTTTGTATAGAGCAACACTATTTTCTTATTATTCTAATTGCAAATGGATAGCCTGGTTAAATTTCTTCTGTCTGTCTGACGTCTGATGTTGTTTGTCTTTTTCTGTGGTAAACGTTTCTATATCATGCTAGACATTCTTATCAGTACAATTGATTAATTTTTAAATTTCATTATAGCTTGATTTCACACAGTATTTTGATATAAGTACGAAATTTCCTGCATGGGATATCGGTAGCCCAAATTTAGCCGACCAACCTTTGATATCAGGTGTGTGTCGGCGGGGGTTAAACCCGGTGCGATGTGTAAGATCGGCGAGCGTCCTAACCACTGTGCTACCGATGGACACATTTTTAAAGGGAGGACTATGAGGCCTCCCCACATGCCCGAGCGCATCTGATTAGGGTCCGTCACAAGTTTTAACCCACCGAGGTACAATGGTAAGCCTTCACTCGCGGTCAGGGCATTCTTGATCACTGTGAACCCGGTGCCAGGTTTTACAGTCGTTCACGGGGTTATACAGGAGGTTACTTATGACCCGGGGGAAAGCAACAGTACTGCCCTTACGACTGTAAAGTTGATTGATACTGTTATGAACAACCGGAGGAGTTGAAGGTCAGTTCACGTAAATATGTAGACATCATTGGCGGCTGAGTGTCAACATAGAATTTTGCATAGAAATGCACCAGTTCAAGTTACTATAGTCCGTGTACCACATAGGGAAGTAAAAGAGAAAAAAGAGATTCACAGGGACGATAATAAACAGAAATGTGAAGGAGAAAGAATATTTGTAACGACAGAAGACAAAAGCCAGGCAACAGACTGTTTATTGAGAAAATCAAGAGATATTTATAGATTTTTATGTACATAATTGTCAGCAGAGAAGCAACGTCTTCTGATTGGTTGTTTCCTTGCTGAAGGTTATTCCGTACTGCTTGTGACCGTTTCTCAGAAAGTTAAGCCATATATCTGTGAATCGTATTTGCACACGTTAAGTCCTCTGCGATTGGTTGTTGAGTTCCTCAAGGTTAAGCTTTGTTATTGTTTTTCTCATGACTCAGATTCGGAACCTGAACATTGACGAATATTGTTGTCTACAATTTTGGCTAGCAGACAGCTCTCACCTCATATTAACATGGAAAAACATTAGCGTTTTAATTGAATATGGCAAATCACAAAGGGTGAATGCATCTGTGTCACTGTTGTCTCCAGTCATTAACTACTGTGCCTGCCGACATTTGTCGTCGAGGAAGGAGGTGGCTTGGCATGTGGTCCAGTTCTGTAGCATCATCTTACATTCTGACAGCAGTGACTCACTTGTGAAACATTCGAAGATTCTGAATTTTATCAACGTTGTCATCTAGGGAGACAATATCCTCCGCACATTCCGCGTCGATAAGATTATTCCCCGGTGGTAACAAGTCAATCCCTGAGTCGCTGAAGTCAGTTACGGTTATGTCCATTAGTATATCTATGATGATATTGGGCGAAAATGGGAACAATGGGTGTCTCTGATGAATACCTTTGGTTGTCATCATTTCAGATGGCAACTCTTCATAATCTCTTACATAGTTGCATGAATTCGAATAGAGTGTCTTGATTAGTGCGATGCACTTTATCAACATTCCCTTCACGACCTCTAGGCGAACTGAGTCGAATGTGGGCTTCAAATCAAGAAATATGGCTACTGTTCGAAACATATTTTTCTCTACACTGTTGGAACTACTGAGGCAATCGTTAAGCGATATCAACAATTTGATAGTCGGAGGATTTCATCATAAGCTGACATCGGTTAGAACACCATTGGAAAACCTGTGGGAAGTACTGGGCATCTGTTTCGTCAGCCTGGTTTTGGACTCTTCATCGGTACGCACCCAACTCGAGGTGTTGAACGTAGGACATTCTAGTTACAAGACAAGCCGCTCGTAGACCATTCATCAGCCCCTGGGACCCGAACTAGTGGCCAGTGCATGAATTCCAACATTTGCCAATTCATACAAGACATAGAGTGACCACTTCGCAATGTCTTCTACGACGAGTTACTGCCTCACCTTCAACCTGATGCACCTGGGCCATTGGATCAGGTCCCAGTGGCTGATGAATGGTTTACGAGCTTGCTAGCCTTGTAACCAGAAGGTCCTGGGTTCGAACTCCTGTGGTGTGTGTGAACTGATGAACAGGCCCAAACTAGGTTGACGAAACAGCTGTCTAGTATTCCCTGTTGGTTTTCCAATGGTTCTCCAACTGATATCAGTTCATGATGAAATCCTCCAACCTATCAAACACACAAAATTCCCTGAAAATTTGATAGTCCCCACAGGATGATTAACAGGGAATTGTTGACAACGAATACTCCGTTGGCTTTGCCTTGTACTCTGACTTTACTTGTTATTCATTCGTGTACACAATGCAGTTTAACCGTTGGTTAGTTGAAACCCGAATTGCCAGTTTTCGTGTCTTTGACTTGAGATTTTGACAGCTTGGAAGTGACTGAATAGTGACAACAATCAGTGGTCAGTCACTGCTAACAACGAATGCCCTGGATTCCAGATGCCTAACAGTTAATCTGTCCAAAGCCGACTCGTTGTAGTCTGAACGCAGGGAACCGATCTTTGTTGTCCGAAACTTCCTTGAGACACAGTACAGTCGCAAAACGCTCGAAAGACAGCAAAATCACGATTATTCGTCGAGAAATCTTTGTGTGTGTGTTCCCTTCAACAATAATAACATCTAGAAATCAAAATCACCTCAATAGTGCCGTCACACAGCTATACAGACAAGGTAAATAATTGTCTAGGTACCAAACAAGTATTGAAGAACAGAAGTAGTTAAACCAAATCTAAACATAAAAGGCACCTGTGTCAATGGACGCGAACATCGAACGTTTGTTTATTGGAACTGGTAGCGATTGGCGGGCAACTCGAAGGCGTGAATCTTTCAACCGTGTACAAGTTGGAAAAAGACGAAGGAATACGAATAAAAGTACAGTACATTCCTTGTAAAACATTTGTTCATAGACTTTGTACGATAACGAATTTAACTGCCGAACAATACAATTTCTTATTAGTTCTTGTGTTTTGCAGTTAAAGTCGATAATTGTACCTAGTATAATTGTCGATTCGGAGCGTCTTCGCAAATAATAGGAACTTAGGGTTAAGTTCCTCGACAACCTGTGAATCGAGTAGAATATTCCCAACCAGCAAGGTGGGATCAAAACTGTGTCAGCAAAAATCATACAGTAACAATTTCTGAAGACTGTCTTATGTCAGAATGACCTACATTCACCCAAACAAAATTACACTTCGAAATAATACATTGCCAATATCATCATCAAACAATCACAAAGTGAAGCATTAAAATTAGAGATTAAACAAGGACACAAAGACAAGTAATATGAGAATTTTAGAAAAATAATAATGCAGTCTAGGGGAGAGACGGATAGTGGTTATAAAGTTAGTTGTGATTAGATCGCTGAAGAAGGATTTTCCAAAGAATTATTCCGTTACATGGGGTTGGAAGATTTCATCATGAGCTGACATCAGTTAGAGAACCGTTGGAGTCCTGGATAGCTGCTTCGTCCCAGTTTGGGATTCTTCATCGGTACGCAACCACCACAAGGGTTCGAACCCAGGACCTTCTGGTTACAAGGCGAGCTCGTAGACCCGATCCAATCTCCAGTGCATGAGTTCTAACTTCTGCCAACTCATGACACAGCGCGACTAGTAGGGCACAGCGGGTTGAAGGTGAGGCAGTAACTCAACGAAGAAGACATTGCGTAGTGGTCGCGCAATGTCAGCCATTGGATCCAGTCTCAGTGGCTGATGAATGGTCTACGTGCTCGCTAACCTTGTAAGTGGAAGGTCCTACGTTCGAGCCATTGTGGTGGACACGTACTACTGAAGAGTCCCAAACTAGGTTGACGAAACAGCTGTGCAGTACTCCCTGCAGGTTTTCCAATGGTTCTCTAACTGACATCAGCTCATGATAAATTCCTCCATCCAATCAAACAAAAATCCCTACAAAACCAATACTCGAAAATTATTCTGTTAAAGCAATGGCTCCTGATACTCAACACTTTACTTCCAACCACATTCGATGCCTTCATATATGAAAACAACTTATTGCACTGAAACTAATGGTACCATCATTCTATTTCACGGGTTCTCATCAGCTGCAGACTACCTGAAATCACAATGGTTATAAACAGCCAACCAGTACTCCACATCACCATCCGAAAAACAGAAGCTGCATACCGAGGAGCATATAGTGGCACTAAGGAGACTATACGAAAATGACGATATCGTCATGTTTAGACCCGATAAAAGCTCTGGAGATGTTATAATGAATAAAACTAATTATGTCCCTGAAATGTTGACAGTTCTTAACGATCCCGAAGAATTTCAGGTGGACAAAACTAAGAAGGATGGAACAACGTCATTTGAAAATAAAGTAAATAAATGCCTCAAAGAACTGCTCATCATTAAGAAACTGACTGACAACAAAACTTACAATGAAGTCAGGTCAAAAGGTGAACGCCTCCAATTTTTATACGGTCTGCCGAAAATCCATAGGGCCAATGTGCCTTTAAGACCCATACCATCAATGATAAACTCACCATGCCACAAATTAGCTTGATAGTTAGCTGATTCATTGAAGCCAATTGAAAAGAAATTTGCAAATCATAGCTCGGATGACACATTCCAAATTTTTCAAGAAGTCAACCATGTTGATATATCAAATAAACTAGTGGTGTCAAATGACGTAACTGCCTTATTTACAAATGTACCAGTGATGGAAACAATAGACATCATTTGTAAACAAACAGATCTATTGCCATTACCGGAAACAGAGATGAAGGGCCTACTAATTCTTTGCACAAAAGACATCCAGTTCAAATTCAACAACCAATATACCCGACAAATTGGTGGGGTCTCCATGAGTTCATTACTAGGACCTTTTCTAGCCGATATCTTCATAGATTATCTTGAACAGACGCGACTGAGTAACACTATCAGTGAAACAACATACTATCGTCGATA